GCATGCAGAGACTCCAAATGATGAACACGGATAAAGGCATTACTATTATAGACACCTCCATCTGATGAGGTGAGAAATGCCCAAAGAAACATGCTTCCTCATGCTACAGGGTTTTTCCTGGGGGATGTTATTCTTCCTGTATCAAACAACAACAACAACAAAAAGTCATTTTAGCATGGCTGATGTACACTTTAATATCCTTAATCATAACAAAGTTGTAAATACCTTTTGTTTAGAAGAATGTTTTCCTGTTGGTAAAGAATACAACAGCCCATTTCAGAAATGAAAGTCTTCAAATTTTTCATAAAATCTGAATTTACTAAATAAAGTTACAATCAAAGGTGAAAGAGTCAAAGTTATTTGATACTCTAAACTGCAGAGATAGGTTAAGGGATGAACATAAATAGAATTATATGCTTCTTTGCAGCCTTTACCTGTGAATATTCTATCCAATCAAACTGAATACATGCGTGATAGAATCAAAGAAAAATGGGTGGGATGGATAATTACTGAGTGGAACAAGTAGTGACATCTCATCACTAGGTCATCAAAATTTGCATTTCAAAGTTGGACTAAAGTCTCTAAATAAATAATGTAGGATGTTTAAAAAATATGACATTCCAGAAAGGCAAGTTACCACAAGTACCTAACACATATTGCAAGGCCCAAGTAGGAATCAAGAAATTTTGTAGAGTCTGGTTATTATTTTTGGTTTCAGGTGGGCTTTACACTTACTGGAAAACCCCAATATCTGATAAATACAAAGCCTCTACCCTTGAGTTGTGCTAAAATATTAGGCAGACAGAGATATTTTAAACCACTTCAACAAGTTCTATCAGGAATTCTGCCTAAGACTCCGAGCAGCAAATGCATAACCAGTTGCCACAGTTCAGCTGAGGGGCAGTTTCCAGGATGTGACTGATTCCATCCGCTGAAAAGTAATAGGACCCTGCTGAAAAGGGCACAAGTGATTATGCTGGACACCATCTGAGTAAGAGTCAGCAATGTATTCTCAAAGAGAAAAAGGAAAATCTTCATTTTGGGCTATATATGGAGAGGCAAAGCTCATAAGGGGGCATCAGTGTTTGTCCATGTCCACCTGATGTTAGGTTACTGAGATTGCTTTTTGGCCCTCCAGCTGATAAAGGATTTCGGCAATCCTATTATCTCAAGAGACTAGAGAAAAAGACCTCGGAGGAAATACTGAGGGAGATGAGTTTATTTGCTTTGACTGAAAAGAGTCTAAGGGATGACCTAACAGAGGCCAGCAGCTACCTTAATGGATCACTACTAGAGTTACAGGCTTGGGAGGATCAGGTTGGACCCTGTCTTACTAGGCAGATAGGCAGCATGAGCAAATACTTCCTACAGAAGGTAGTGCCCTAAACTACTATACACAGAAACAAAAGCAATGCCATGCCTCTTAAATCATTTATCTCATTGGCTGTGAGTAATGTGAACTGGTAGTATCTGTGTTTTGGTCAGAAAGAAAAGGCAAGGGGAAGAACTGGCAATCATAAAAATACGTGTTCTGGTAGCAGTGAAAAAGCACCATATAGCTTCAATCTTATCAGCAAATTGGCTTCTCTAGGAAAATGTATCTAGTGACAGCTTGAAATTATGCCTTAGGAAGGGAAAAGAAACTTTGGATATGTATAATGAGGATAGGAACAATTAAACATTGTTCTTGCCTTGTTCACACCTGCAAAGTGCTCACAGAAACACACTTCGCTGTTTCTTAAGTGAAATGTCTCCCAGTGCACCTTAAAGCACAGACTTCTCATGTAGCTGCTGCAAGAGCAGAGAGTAAAGAAGGCTTCCAGTGATCAAGAAACCTTACATTGCATACATCTGGCCATTCTGATTCACTCTTCCCTACACTGCTCCTTGAACATCGGTACAGAGGGAGACAGAATTGTATACGCAGAGCACCATTTAAAACTGCACAGTCTGCACTGTTGTTTTGTAGATGTACAATGTTTAAGATTTTGGGTAGTGATAAAAACACAGCTGATCCAACTTGCAGTGTTGCAGAAGTGCAACTGCATAATTGCCATGCCTGTAGCATGCCCACTGATCCACAGCGGAGCTCTGTGATAGCTCTTGCTTTCTTTTTATGATAAAAAAGAGAGAGAGAGAGAGAGAAAAAGAGATATCACCAAAGTACAGTTACTGGAGAGTAGTAAATGCTCTGTTCTTAATCTTCCCCATGTGTTTGAGAAAGTAAATGAAAGCCAAGTAAAGAGAATGGTACACAAAGGACCATATTTTCTAAGTGCAGCTCTTAAGCTGTCACCCATTACAAGTCCCATGCACATAAGACCCTTTTGTGTCACATTTGCACTTGCAGATTGAAGGCCTCTTGTGCAGTAACTGTACATTTTACACCAGTACAGCATTGACACCTCAGGCCAGTGTGGTCCTTTGAAACAGAGCAGCTCAGCAGAAGTAGATTGCACTGTTTATCAAACATGTTCCTCTTGATGTGTTTCAGATGCTTTTCCATGCATTAAAAAAGCAATTCTTGCACTCACAGTACAAGACAGGCTGCAGTGGAGAGGTGGGGAAAAGCAGGACCACAGTCCTAATGCAAAACTCTGCCTACTGCTTCACAAGTTGTTGCAAATGAATTACCACCATTTACAACTTAGGATATTACAGTAAAATGGTTCTGATTTCAGGAACCTTTAGTACATCAGGCTGCAATTTATGGCAGTTCAGATGTCACTGCATGGGTGGCTGAGCCACCTCTGCAAAAAGTGGAAGAACCATTGCAAATATTTGAAAATAAAGCAGGACACAAGTGCAACTGCCAGCTTGGCCCTATCCCAAAATGCTATGGGGAAACATTTTTCTGCATAAATGCACATTTCAAACACTGGAAGTGAATGGGGAGGAAAAAATCTGAGATTCATATTGACACAAACAAGGGAAAATAAATAACAACCATGAACAGAGTTGCCAGGTCTGTACATATCCATATGGCAAAAGGCACAGCCTATCTCCATTACAGGAAAGAGTGCCTGGAATATGGATGATTTTAGTAGAAAACTTAGAATACTGAAAGAATAATCTTGGCCACATTTTGCCCACTAAGCTCCGTGAAGTGCTTTGAGATACAGAAATGAGTGAGAGAATCCCTGGCCAGATTCCACCTTGGCTTCTATCTAATGCAGCCAACTTCACAGATAATTCTTGTACACCTCTCACTCCAACAGAGCATTTACTAAATAACTTTAAGTACATCCCCCTTCCATTTAGGTATTTAACAAACACTCAAGTTTTGCTGGAGCACAGCCCTTAGCAAGTAAGAATAAGCATGGATACAGCAGTAGCCAACATAATAAATACCTAATTTTCTGCCACAGAGTCTCTTCAGGTGAAGGACCAAGAGAAAAGTTTGCTCAGACTTCGCCAACCTCTAAGTCATAGCGATGGGATCCAGTTTACCCAATAGCAGATCCTCCCAGTGCAGGAGCTGACATATTCTCATCACCTTAAACTCCCTTTATAAGAATTTGAGAGAAAAAATGTGCCCTTTAACTGTTTGTCATCTGATGTCTTTAGAGGTCTACCTGGTGGAGGGCAGAATACATCCCATAATCTGTTGAGTAGTAGAGTACTCAGTTAAGTATATTGAGGCCAATCTGGGATAGACATGATCTTCAGGGAATGAATCCTCTTATCTCTTATCCCTGCAGAAGGCAGGGGTTGTTCTCCCAGACTTTTTGGGGGGAACTGAGACCCAGACATGAGGGTCAACCTTGAGGGAAACCTTGACCAGGCCCAGCAAAACTGTGACTGTCAGACCACTTTCTGGGGAACAAGATGGAACAAGAAGTGGAGCAAAAGTCCCCACTTCTCATCAAAAGTTGATCTGAGAATCAACAGAAGGCAGCAAGTTGTGACCTGAATGGGTACTAATCCTGCCTCTGGATGTGCAAAGCAAATGCTCCATGAGATGGCTGCCAAATGACAGCAGGCCTGGGAGCTACCTCCACCCCCTTGGACTGCCCATCCAGCACTGAGGAGAAGACCTCTCCCCTTTTCTCCTTGCCCTGCCCTTGGCCCAAAGAATGCCTTTCCCAGTTCTGTCTGACAGGAAAATGATAAGTGATGTCAGTGTGTGTCACAGTTCTGCTTTTCAGAGTCCAAATCCTGAGTATCTGGGATGGCCCTGTATATACAACTTACCACTGATGAGATGAGAAGGACAGCCCAGAGGCACTGAGTTACTGATGGTGACGTGTCACTCCTAAGGACACCCACAACCCAAACAACCCCTGAGAGAAGATAGTGAACCACTCACAGCCCCATTAACTGGAGGGGAAGCAGCCCAGTTCAATGCTAATGTCCTGGAAGAGGATGCAAAAATCCAAGAAAAGAAGTGTTTACCTATGGTTTTCCTATAGCACGGAGACCACTTCTGTGATCATCAGAGCTGCAGGCTGGAGATGGGTGAGCCAAATGAGCTTGGGTGCCAACTAGATTGAAGGAGGTACCCCAGTGAGAAGCATTTGACAGTTCTAATTAGATCTTATCTTTAGTGCTGGCAGAACTGTGATTTCAGTTCATCAGAGTTCCTGCTTTGAGGTGAGTTTATCTATTCTGACTTATGCTGTTTATTTTCTAGTGAAGTTGTTTTATTCTCAGCTGGATTAAATTACTTAGAGGTTCTATCTCAGGAGTAAACTAGGTGCCCCATGGCACAACAATATTCCCATTGTAAAAGCTGCAGTGCAACCAGCTAAGGCAGAGAGCACCACTGCTCTCCTTCTTTTTATGGCTGGAGAGCTGAGGTCCATAGAGACCAGCTAGCCATTGTCCTCTGTGACATCTGTAGCAGGAACAGGGATACAACTCATTCATCTTGAGCATTATCCTCACAGAACCTTTAAGCAAGGACTGCCACCCACTTGTTTTTTGTTGACCTTGCAAGTTTTGTGGTGGCTGGTGAAAGAGATGAATCTCCAAGTGGGAGCTGCAATGCTAAATGGGGATGCATTACAGTTATGGTGCTTTAATCAGGTGTGGATGTGGCTATGCTGTGTCCACCAGTAACTCTCAGCTTGGTTGTAAGATCCTTTGTCAAGCCATGCTGGGTTTAGATGAGATCGAGGTCAGGGGCTATGGAGATGCTGTCCAAGAGGTTCCTGTAGCTCATGTAGGGAAGCAGCCAACTGTGTTTTCCACAGGTCAGCATAGAATTCACTCTTCATCCCAAGCAGCTGTGAAAAGAGGTGATGAAAGGCTTCTGGAAAGCAGGCACTCCTTCGATGACTTCCAGATTCCTCCAGTGAGCAGAGAGGCCTTTATCAAACATCAATAGCACAGGTGAACAGCTGCCATGGGAGGAAACCACACAAGTTATGAGGTTTGTTTTCAATTCTTTTCCCAAACTCAGCTCCATATGTTGCTACATTTTTCCAGCCTCTGCAAAATGATTCATGTGGCATGTTGCCTAACATTGCACAAAGTGTGCCCATACGAGGTCTCACCAGTGTGTGGGAAGAGCTCTGCATAAGGCCAGTCCTACCTCTCCGAGGACAGGCAGGACTTGTGCCAGTGCCCATACTACTATTGCTACCCTTGCTCCAGTTAAACATGGAGATCTTGCACAGCCTGGGTATTTCTCAGCCTGCAGAGCCTCAGGACAAAATCTGCCTCTAGCTGAGGGAAGGCACTGTAACTCCAGGAGTGAACTCTGTCCTCTTGGCCGTAAATATCTTGCAAATAATCTTCTGGTACCTTCAGCCAAGCACTATGCATGATGTTCCCACCTAGTTCTCTTTGTCCCAGATTTAAAGAGCAACAGAATACAAACAGTATCTTCTATCTGAAAACATAATTGCAAACTCTTAATTGATTTTGTGCCAAAAAAGATATGCCGTAAAACTCAAGCAGGCTATTAATGAGAAATACATTAGCAAGAAAACCCATATAACTCTGCGCATAAAGATGAGGGATCATTATGAAAGCAGGAGACAGAGATGCAAACGTTATGTGCTGTTTACTTGGGGTGATTTTGCTAAATATTTGGAGCTCTACTGTAGTAATTCTTCACATAAATACAAGGCTCTGCTGCACAATTAGACCATCTTGGATGTCATCTGTCCTTTCTCACAGAATGCAAGGCATTTTTTGGAGGGAATATTTGGGACTCAGTTGCTCAGGACTGGGTTCAATTGTTTTTGCAGCAGCATGAGTGTATGTCAACTCCAAGGGATGCAAATAAACTTAGTTAATTGGATCCACACCAGCATCACATCCTGGGGGGGTGGAGGGAGGGCAGTACAGAGCTGGCTAAATTTGTGTTTAAGTTAAAACATGCCTGATGCAGGAACAGTCTGTTTTTGGTGATGAGGTGTCTGACAAGGAGACAAGGAGACAAGGAGAGGGCAGTGGAAAGCGTACCTTAACTTCTGTGAGGCTTTTAATGTAGTCTCCCACACTATTCTTATCATCAGACCGTTGCAATGAGGGCAGGATAAGAGGACAATAAAGTGGGTAGAAAATTGGCTGTGCTGCTGCTGGACTCAAGGAGGTTTAACCAGCAGTGTGAAGTCCAACTGGCAGCCAGCACTGGTGGCATCCCTAAGAGACAAGCCGTGGGACCAGAACTGCTTCATTGTCTCCTCTAATGACCTGCATGATGGGAGTTGAATCTACAGGCTTGAAGATACGAAATCAGAGAGTGGATGAGATGTTGGAGGGCAGGCTGCTGTTCAGGGGGACCTGGAGAGGTTGGAAATTGGAGTGGCCAACTTTGGGATTTGCAGATGAATTCAGATTGTGGATTCTCTCTTGATCCTCAAAGATTCTGAGCACAAACAACTCTCACCCAAAGTCTTAGCTGTCTCATGTGTCAAAGCCCCTCCCACCCAAGCACAACATTGCTGATCTTACATCTCGAGGCTTTGAGAGTCTGAATACCTTTGAATATCTCAAACTGAGCCCCTTAGCCTGAGTCCCTTTGGTTTCAAGTGGCAGGCTCAAGAAGAAACAGTCAAAAAAAGCCCATCTATTAATTATTAATGATTTTATAAAGAAAGAATTTCCCCCAAAATGCAACTTGATTCAAATGAAGGTGAAATTCTCCATTGTCCAGTAATCTGATCTGGCTTTGTATTCATCATATAGCAAACATGCCTGGCAGACAAGCTCAGAAAGGCAACCATGCAGGTGTTTTCACCTTGTCTAGGCCATGGGAGCTCTTCAACAGGCTTCCTGGTATAGGCCAAACTGAGGCCAGCCCTGCATGGGGCAGCTGGAAGGATTAGGCCCTTACTGAGCAGTGATAAAAGATATGAGACAAAAGTGGAAAAAGGGGAATCAAGAAGCTGTTCTACATGGGTAAGCAACCCTGAGCCTGACTGTTTTCTTCCTCACCTTTTGGGTACAAGTCTGCACGAAAATGACAGCTTCTAGCCTACATTCTAGCAGTGATGTCTAACATTTGGGCATTTATGGCACTCACTCAGCCTTTGCCTTGGCCAAAGGTTTGTCTGTTGAACCTGGTTGGCTCCATGCCCTTCACTTGTCCATGCACAGTGTTTTGTATCCTGCCAAAACACCCTTTGCAAATGCAACAGATCAGGGAAATGTCTGGTTTGGAATTCCCTTATGGAGTTACATCCCTATTTTGGGTGTTTTAGGGTTGGAGTCACATAACTACAAGGCTATCAATTACACAGTGATGCAGCATTTGAGTATTAGTCTTGAACCTGAAGATTTCTGGCCTGACTCATGCACCTGTAAATGGAATCTATAGTATTCATTTCACTGAACCTCTTGAAAGAACATGGTGTGGAGGCTGGGGAAAGTTCCCCGCACCATACCCAAGCATGAGAGAGCATCTCCTGCTAAGAGTATGGGGGAGTTGGGGTACGAAATCAGGACTGGGAGGAGGGAAGCAGTCTCCCTCTTTACCCTTCCCAAAACACAACATTCATTTTTTCTGTAGTGCTGAGTTCTCAAATAAACTACTTGTTTAAGGCAACAAGCTGAGGCATTTACAGTGATGCCATTCATAACACAACAGTTAAGCATCTGTTGGCTTTTATAGTATAATCTTTATTCTAGGCTGAGGGAATAAAAAATCTCTAAGCAAATTTGAGTGAAGAGCTCTGACCCCAGAGCCCAGAAGCAGCAAATCCCTCTTTCTACTAACTCAGATTTGTCCTCACTGCATCAGACATTGTTTGCACAACCATTTGCAATTTTGAGAATCCTGTAAGACAGTCAAACACAAAGGAAGCCTTCACTACATGTCAATTTTTCCTCCTCACTTTAGACAATTTAGGCCATATGCTCATGGACATATTGAGGCAACAGCCTCCAGTCCAATCCAAGATCTTCCAAACTTTCTGGACTATTTGGCATACAGGCTGCTTCATTTATCCCGACCTATAGCTTGTACTGCCATGGATCCTTCTTATCCCAGCTTTTCTCAGTCTTTCAATAGGAAGCTGTAATAAGTGTGGTGATTCTGCAGGTAATTCAGACCACTTAAAGATGGATCCAGGCACAGTCTAATAACTAAGTGCTGAGAACAAACTCTAGGAAAATCCATAACTCTCAAATGCCCCCTGAATTTCTGCCATGCTCTCCTGCCCGTTGTACATTTTCAGGAAGAAGCTCTGGGCAGGTAATAGTTGCAAGAACTACCCAACACACTGCACGATTAGTCTGTGTCAATAATTTGGGGTTGAAGTTAAATGACCTTAAAGGTCCTTTCCAATCTAAGCCATTCTATGACTCTGTGATTCCAAGCTAAGAGCTAGCAGAAATCTCCATCAAGTGCCCTCACCAGACACACCATGTAATCCAGATCACCAGTTATCAAGATCTGCTTTGATAATTGTTTAGTAAATGTCCATAACTCATCACCTAACAAGCAGGACCCGTCTAGCTCCCAGCTCCAAGGCAAAGTGGCACAGCAGTTCCAGATGCTGGCAGCCCAGTACAGAACCTAACTTGTCTACAGTTTGCACTTTATAGAGAAGAAATTTAGTTAGCAAAAGACTAAGTGTAATTTGTCCCCTAAAAATATGGAGAAAGGTTATTTCCCAAATGCATTTCTCCAAGGCCCTTATCTTCACTGCTGAGCTGCAAAGGAAGTTGCAAAATCACTAACACGGAACAGCTCTATCCCTTTACCACCAGCACAGCAACATTTCCATAAAAAGAGTGTTGCCATTTAGTAAGCAGTTTTTCCTTAACCAATTAAAAATACCTTTTGGCAAGATGTATCTTCAAAACCAGATATTTTTAACTGTTTCCTGGAGAGATATACTCGAGCTATAATGTGACCTGAAGTTTTACAGAAGTTCAGACAACAAAAACATCCACTGCCCAAAATCAAGCAGCAAAAGACAACCGAGTTGGCCATTGCCTCAGGCCAAAGTTTCCCCTTTGGCAGCAGAGCAGCTCAGAGAATACATACTATGGGAAAGGCGCACTGAAAAGTTCAAGACAAAGTTCAGCTATTTTGGAGTTGTTAATGTAAAAAAAAATAGTACTTTAATATAGGAAAAATTCCAGGAGACTTTCTCACATGCATTCGTCACTCAGAAAAGCTGCTTATTCAAACTTTCCATCCTGGTTATAATTATAACAGCACCTTGGAACCCCAGCAAGGAGAGCCAGGCTGCAGTGGGCACGTTGCACGCGTATGATAAAGAAGGCAGTCTGTTCTCTGCGTGTTGACAATGAAGCAGATAACAGAAATAAATAGAACAGCTTCAGAAGGACAAGTAGCAAGGAAAGCATCAGGTAAAATTATAACACCTTGAGTAAGCTGCGGGCACATGGAGATTGCTTTCTAACTGGTAGTCTTTCAAAATGCAAACTATACCGCTTGTCTTCAAGTGGACAAAGCAGTATCACCAAAACCTTCAGTACATTCAGCACAAGCCTGACAGCGACCGATTAGCCCAACTATTAACTGAACAGCTCAGGGAAATAAAAACAGCCAGAGCATCACGATCCCCAGCAGTACTGTGCTGATTAATGTCGTTCTGTAAATTACGGCTGGGCCACCTGTACCAGTCTGCTTCCCTGCTGTTTAAAATTTCTTTGCTGCGTATTTCAGTTCCAATAGAAAAATCTTTTGATAATGATTTTAGAATTTTAAGAAATAAATCTACTTTCTTCAGAAAGGTGCAGGAGGCTTTCTAGCTTACACATAATGGGGAAATGGAGCAGGTCTGGAGAATAGAGGCTGTTTTTATGCCATTTGCTGTACTGAGATGAGGTTTGCGTTCACCTTCAGAGGTCAACAGAAGCTCTGTGATGGGTCTCACTGCACACAGCTTCATAAAGCAGTGGTGTCTTGAGATGT